GACCTCCACCTCTAGGACGGCCCCTACCCACTTGCCCTCCACCTCTGGGTGGTCGGACGGCTGGTGGAGCAACTGGTGTGGAAATTATAGGCTGCTGACCCTGCTATATTGGTCTACCCCGAAGCCTAGGGTAGAATCTCCACATGTGACTGGAATCCCCGCACTCACAACAACTTCTCGGCACAATGGGCTGCTGACTAGAAGTTTGGCCCAAGTGACCTAAATACCCACTGGAAGAACCCTGAATAGCTGGTGGACGATAAGAATTTTTTGGCATAGCACTAAAATAAGGTCGCACTGGGCACTCCGATGAGGCGGTGGTGCTGGATATGGGGGCTTGCTGGACTGCCCTCTCATGAACTGACCTCTACCCCTAGACGGAGCACCTCTAAACTCTCCAGAATATCTAAATCGCTTATCCCTCATAACCTGCTCTCGGCTGCGCTGACGCACACCCTCAATCCTTCGGGCTATCTCTACAACCAACTCATAAGAAGTCCCCATCTCAACCTCTCGTGCCATGGTCGTCTGAATGCCAGTATGTAAACCCGCAACAAACCTCTTCACTCTCTCCGGCTTAGTAGGGAGTATCATAAGTGCATGGCGAGATAACTCAGAGAACCTCGCCTCATAATCGGTCACTGATATTTGACCCGGCTGGAACTGCTCAAACTGAAACCGCAACTCTTCCCTCTGGGAGGGTGGAATATACCTATCCAGGAAAATACGGGTGAACCTGTCCCAAGTCATGGGGGAGAATCTGTTGGTCCGCCAAGAAGATAAGACTTCCACCATCTACGGGCTCTGCCCTCTAGCTGAAAAGTAGCAAAGTCTACCCCTATGAGACTCTAATATCCGCATGTTGTGCAGTATGTCCCTGCACCGATCAATGAAATTCTGGGGATCCTCATGTCACTCACCCCCAAAGACAGGAGGATGTAGTCTAGTCAATCTATCCAATAATTTCTGCGGCTCGGCGGCCGCAGCTGGTCTGGGCCCAAGTGTAGCTGCTGCTACTGGCTTGACTCCACCCATGGGTAGTGCATCCTAGGTCTGATATACAGTAGCTGCCTTCCCATGAGCCTGTGCGGTAGGGGTTTGTGCTCCCCTGCCTACCTGAGATGTGGCTGGGTCTGTCGAAAATAAATCGGCCTGAGTCATAGTGTCCATGAACTGCAGCATACGGCCCATGACCTCCTGGAATCGTGGTGCAGATGTGAAATCCACCGGAGCTGGCTCTGCTACTAGCACCTCGCCCTGTTCCTCAATAATATGATCCTCTGCTGGACCCAATGGTGGCATAACTGGAACAATTCTTGGATGTCCACGTCCCCTACCACGGGCTGGAGCCCTCCCTCGGCCTCTAACAACAGGGGGAGTAGCTCTTCCCTGGTCTGGAATCTCATTAGAGCGCGTTCTCACCATCTATGAGAGAATAAGAGAAAGATATTTAGTACTGCATTATTTGCACGATGGGAGATGAAGAAAGGTAGTTTTCCTAACACCCTATAGCCTCTCGAAGATAAGTAAAGACGTCTCTGTACCGATCCGCAAGACTCTATTAGGCCTGCTCATAACTTGCGAGACCTACGTGAACCTAGTGCTCTGATACCATGTTGTCACGGCCCAAACTCACCTATAGGTCGTGATGGCGCCCAACATCCCAGTTAGGCAAGCCAACTAATGATTTAAACATATATTCATTTCTTTAAAAATTATCCGAGTAATCAAACTCTTCAAAATTTCAAAAATTAAGAAAGATATGAGAAAATAAGATAAATTAAAATCCAAGTAAAATAATTAAATTCACAAATTCTACTAATGTGTGCCAAAACCTGGTGTCACAAGTGTATGAGCATCTAGTAGATTATACAAAATTTTAAATATTGTCTGAAATAAAATAGACATAATGTAAATACAAGAAGAGACATTAGTTGCTGCAGAACGGCTCAGAAAGGCAGCTCACCACTAAGCCTCTGGATAACGTGGGTTCGCGCCGATAGGTCCTCTGATAGTACCTGTCTTAGGTCCTGCACAAAAAGTGTAGCAAGCGTAGCATGAGTACGTAAACAATGTGTACCCAGTAAGTATTAATCATAATCTCGAAAAAGTAGTGACGAGAGGTCAACTTTGACACTCACTATGGGTCTAAAATATTACAATAGAATATATTGAATTAAACATGATTTTTAGGTGAACAACAATAATTTTCTTAACAAGCAGAAATAATTAATTCCTTAAAATTCAATAATTTATAATTTATCAATTAACTTCACAAGCAACAATTAAAATATCAAGGTATCGTATAATTATAATTATTAGGCACGATTTCTTCCGAGGTCGTACGGCCCGATCTAAAGTATCGCGTACACTGCCGAGGGACATGCGTCACGATCCATAGATGCATCTATACTGCCGAGGTGTTCGGCCCGCTCCACAAGAAAGGAGAACATTTTCTTATGAACCTCCGGAATGAGAAATAATTATAATATTAACACGTAGGATATTCAATCTCTACTAACAATTCAATAATTTTTACAAAATTCGAGTATATGAAGTTTCGATTTTTTACTATTTTCTCTAACAATTTACAATATAATTCCAGTAATTTAATTAATTAAAAGGAGCAATTATCACAAGTAATTCATGATTTGAGTCCTAAACTACCCAAATATAGCATAATAAGTAGTTACGCACGGACTCTCGTCACCTCGTGTGTATGTAGCCCCCACAATTAGCAACAATTATTAATGTAAATCACCTATGTGGTAAATTCCCTCTTACAAGGTTAGGCAAGAGACTTACCTTGTCTCAAAGCCCACTTCTCGATCACAATGTCGCGTAAAATCTCAATTCGGTGCCGAAAAATCCGAAACTATCCAAAGTTATATAAAATAATTAATACATACTCAAAAATTCAAAATTAGACTATTAAATAAATTATTCTATCCAAAATGGTAAATTCCTAAAATTTACCCCAGGCCCATGTACTCGGATTCCGGAAATTTTTGGAGAAAATCATTACCCATAATCTCAATAACTCAAATATACAATTTCCATCCAATTTCATAACCATTTTCATGATTAAAAAATTATTTTATACAAATCTAGGTTTTTACTCTAACCTTTGATTTTCATAATTTATAGGTTATAATCTATCCATAATCTATGTATTTAACTCAAAGTTTATAGAATTAACTTACCTTCAAGTTGCTAGTTGAAATCCCTTCTCAAAAAGCTCCAAAATCGCCCAAGAATGGAGAGAAACGGGCAAAAATATGCAACTCCCGACTTAAATGAAGGTTCTGCCTTCGGTGATTTTCGCACCTGTGGAAAAAGCCTCGCAGGTGCGAGATTTTCCTCTTGGCCTGGCTCCGCACCTGCTGACAAATGGACCGCTTCTGTGAAACAACATCTGCACCTCAAACCTTCGCACCTTCGGAACTGTCGGCTTCTGCGCGCCATAGCTCGCACCTGCGCGCTCGCAGGTGTGCCGAAAAATCCTGCTTCTGTGGCGTGTGGCCTGCCCTCCCCTTTCCGCTTCTACGAGGTAAATGCCGCACCTCGACTGCTCAAGCGCAGGTGCGACTGCAGCATAAGCTGGAAACTTCAGTTGTTGCTCCAAATTCCAAAATTGGTCCGAGCCTCGTCCCCCGGGGGCTCGCCCGAACATACCAACAAGTTTGAAATCATAAAACGGACTCGCTCGAACCCTCGAAACATGTAAAACAACATCAAAACTAAGAATCATGCCCCAAACCAAATTGATTCAACTTAAAATTTTTAAATTTTTCAAACTTACTTTGAACGCGCCGAAACATACTTAAACTACTCGGAATGATGCCAAATTTTGCGTGCAAGTCTTAAATCACCATACGGACTATTCCCAGGCTCAAAATTCCAAACGGACCTCAATTACCCCAAAACCTACTCCAAACCAAATTTAAAGAACATTAAGCCTTCAAATAGTTGATTTTTCACTATTAAGCGCTGAAATGCTCTCAGGTTGTGCAAAATCCGATTCGAACATACGCCCAAGTCCAAAATCATCATACGAACCTATTGGAACCGTCAAATCCCGATTTCGAGGTCGTTTTCTCAAAATGTTGACCGAAGTCAAACTTGGGCTTTTAAAACCAAATTAAGAAATCAAGTGTTCCGATTTCAACCCGAACACTTTCAAATCCCGAACCAACCATCCCCGTAAGTCATAAATTAATAAAAGCACATATAAAGAGTTTTATTTAGGGAAACGGGATTTTAAAAGCCAAAATGACATGTTAGGTCATTACGATAAGTAACCTATAATGTAGAAATCTCAACTTTAACTTTTTTAAAAGACGGGCAATGTTGTCTTTTAACCAAATTCTCCAATTCTTTTCCTACTTTCTCTTCATTTTAATGCGTTGGTAGAGTTCTTTTTCGAGAATTAAAAATGGGAGGGTGAAATTTGTAAAACTCCTCAAGTATTAACTAGAGGTATATATCATAAAACCGATCCTTCATATCCATGATCAAAACATGTAAATGAAAAATAAACAACTAGTAATTAGTATTATTTTTTATGTCCCAATTTATGTGATGTAGTTTTGATTTTGAGAGGTAAATAGGTTTTTCTTTGACTGTAATTTATATTATTTTTTATATAGTTTTCAAATATATTAATTCTATTTTAAAATATTTAAAGAAGTATTTTCGAATTTACGATCAAAATTTAAAAAGTGTAATATGGAGGTAGAATAATAAAAGCAATATATTCTTTGACAGGGAAACATAAAGGAGCATAAATAAAAGATTTGGTTTGTCATTCAAAAGGTAAAGAAGTAAACCATAAAAAGAAAAACAAAAGCCCAAGAGCAATACTGATTTATTGAAAAGTTCAGTTTTTATTTACATTTACACGCGTCAATAGCATAGGAGTGTTTGGATTCTAGCTTCTTTCTCCTAAATATATGGAAAATGTAAGGTCATTTTTTGATACCGAGAAAAATATACCATTGATTTTCTGTAAAGGCAGGATAATTTTTCCAACGTTTTCTAATTCGTTACTGAACTAGCAAAGCAATGGGTTCGTATCCATAAAAGTAAGCTTCAATTCCGTTTGATGATCGATCATATTCAGTCTTAAACTCGTTCTCGAATTTGATTTTCTTCTGAGTTCTGATTCACATGTATTTATGTGCATTGGTATTGGTTGCTAAACGAGCAGTTCACTAAATTTTGGGTTTCTGAGTCTTGATTTTAGATTCAGTTTGACACATTGTAATTTGTATATATGATGATTTCATGTGGTTCTGAACCAATTGTTAAATGTCGTTACATGGTTTGGTCGATAGAATTTATCTGTATCATAAATTGGTTAAAAAAAATAAGAATGTGCTATTGATTGTTTCATGACACAAGCTTACGAAATGAAGGAATATGAGTGTCTTCACTAACATAATTTTGTTCAGATTACCCACATTGTCTTCACATGTTAAATTTTTACTTAGAAATTTGTATACCAATTTGTAAGTGATTATAAAAGATTAAGTCAAAGACCGATGGGACTATTGATTGCTAGGTGAATTATTCGTTACATTTTAGTGGGAAGCCATCGTTACATTCGTTACATATAGTGCGACTATGAGCCTAATATTTTGTGTCTTAGGTTCATCACCATTCTTTATGAATGTGAATTTTCTTCAGGTTCTAAGTATTTGTGCAGCCAACTTTGTATCATGGAAAAAAGTGTTTTAACATATCTTGGTATAGAGATGGGACATGTTATTTTGGGAAGTACTACTAGCTAAATTTCAGCATTTTGCTTTTCTTTTTTTCATTGGCAGGAAGGAGAATTAGTATTTCTGAAAATCCATATGATGGGCTTCTTAATTGCATGATGAGATATCTTCAAATTGCTCTTTCATTTGCTCTCGTTGTTTCCTCTGCCTTTAAAGATAGAGAGTCAGAGAGGAGGTTCATGTGCTCATAGCTGGTGGTTTATACTAGAAATTGGAAAATCTATCTCATGACCTTGAGCTTGAAAGGAGATAAAAAGGAGAATCAAACTATATATTAAGGAAGAAATTCCTCACAGACTGAGGTGCTTTTGCGAACAATTTTCACTTTGACTCTGTATTTTTACATGTCCGTCTCACCTAAGTTATACTTACAGAACAAGTATTTGAAGTCTCTTACAAGATGGCTCATTGGAAGGACGATCAACCGCTTGTTATCTACAACGCAACTGGACGGTGCATGGTTAGTTAGAACAAACCGCTTGCAATTTCAGCTCCATGCATGGTGTTTACTGTATTGCCCCCTATCTGACCTACTAATGAATCAAAAGTGCGTCGTTTGTTTCTTTAGGCCGGCTTTGCTGGGGATGATTCTCCAAAGGCTGTTTTCAAAACTATAGTTGGTCGTCCTCGTCACACTGGCGTCATGGTTGGAATGGGACACAAAGATGTCTATGTTGGTGATGAAGCTCACTTTAAAAGAGGTATATTGACTCTGAAATATCCCATTGAACATGGTATCGTAAGGGGCTGGGATGATATGGAGCAAATCTGGCACCATACATTTTACAATGAGCTCCGTATTGCTCCTGAGGAGCATCCCGTTCTTCTGACTGAGGCACCACATAACCCCAAGGTTAACCGAGAGAAAATGACTCAAATCATTTTTGAGACATTCAATGTGCCAGCCATGTATGTCGCAGTCCAGGCTCTTCTTTCTCTATATGCTAATGGTCGTATTACTGGTAAGCAGCAGATGGAATACCAGCATATGCTGGTTCACTACTGTCTTAGTCAGTCACTAATTTATTTGTTGTTCTCTGACAAGGTATTGTTCTTAACTCTGGTACTAGTATAAGCCAAACTGTCCCAATATATGAGGGACATGCACTTCCGCATGCTATCTCGCGGTTAAATCTTGGTGGCCGTCATCTTACAGAGTATCTATGGAAGATTCTCTCGGAGAGTGGTTTTCCATTTAAATCAAGTTTCATTGATAGTTCTCATATGAAGAAGACGATTGCTTATGTTGCACTGGATTTTGAACAAGAGATTGAAAAGGCAAAAAAAAGCTCAAAATCAGTTGAGAAGGGCTATGAGCTTCCTGATAGACAAGTCATTAATATTGGTGCAGCAAGATTCCGTTGTCCTGAAGTCCTCTTCCAACCATCGTTGATTGAAATGGAAGCAACAGGAATTCATGAAAAAATCTACAATTCAATCATGAGATGCGATATTGATATTAGGAAAGATTTATTTTCAAACATTGTGCTTAGTGGTGGCTCAACTATGTTTCCTGGCGTAGCACAACGTATTAGCAAAGAAATCACTTCTCTTGCTCCAAGCAGCACGAAGATTGAGGTGGTTGCACCACCTGAGAGGAAGTACAACGCTTGGATAGGAGGATCAATTCTAGCTTCCCTCAGTACTTTCAAAAAAGTTAGTTTCTCTTTGCTTTATTTGACTTATCAATTAAACCAACCTATTTAAGTCTAAGTCTCAAATAATTGGTTCTAGCTATGATCGTCTTCTTGTTAACTCTTTTAAGCTCAAGTGATACATCATTTATATCTATGTCCCATGCAGATGTGGATAACAAAGGCCGAGTATGATGAAATTGGTCCCTCTATTGTCCACAGGAAGTGTTTCTAATTTGGTGAGAACTTAAGAAATCATCTTTAGTTAAATTCATTCAAATGAATGCTTCATTTTATGTCACAGTGGCCTGTTTCTTTTTGAAGTGATACTGAATTATCTGAGCAGTCTGTTTTAACGTGCGATTCTTGCTTGGCTTGGCTTTATTGGTGTCTTTGTAAGTTAGCTAGTATGCAGGGAGCTGGTGGATCGTCCATTATGAGATGTTGGTTATATTTTTATCATATAAGCAGACTTTTTCAGAAGGGTGGAATCTGGATTAGCTTTCCTTTATTTAACAATATATTTTATCAGAAAATATATGGATAAGTAGTTGTGTAATTGCAGAAAAGTAGATCTATATGTTTTATGCCTTGTAAGTTAGCTTTGGCGATGTTATGCTACTTTCTATGTTACCAGTTTGCAAGGAGAGATTTTTGTTCATACCTTTCTATTGTTGTAGGTGATATGAATATGAATGCCAAAATAGTTTGAAAATCCAAAGGACTGAAGAAGCATTTTTGTCCAACCTTGGCAAGAAATGAAGTGACCGTTGAGCAAGGCAGTCCATCAACTGCAATGTTACTGCACACATAGCTAACAAAAAGCAAGCTCTCTTTCTAGTTCAAATTCTTGTTACTTTTATATTGTTCCTTAGGTACCTGCAACCAGACGGGCCTAAGTGGGTCCCGGGTTAAGTGGGCCGGTCCCGGGCCTAAGTAGGCATAAACGGGCCTAAGCGGGCCCAACAGATACTTTCTATTTTAATTTTTTTTAATAGAAGTTAGAGAAAAAAAATGGTAATAAAGATATATAAGCTATATTCGAT